GCATGGCATAGCTTTCCTTTCAGTGTGATCAACTCCCCACATGTAATATGTGCACAAGAATTTGCTTGTGGAATGAATTACAATGCAACACACTGACACAGTCTGAAACCATTTGTATTGTTGTTGGGCTAATGGTTTTTATGTTTCAAGGTGAGAGATTTTAAAGTGCCCCTCCATCAAGCCTTCTTGTGTCCTTCCTTACCAGGCACCCCCCTGCCCCACCCTTATCCATACCATAGTCTTCCTAGCTTCCCAAAGCCCTTATTCGTTCCTCATTTTCTATCTTGTAGTGGTCACATTTACCTTGTAGTACTCTCTCCCCTACCCACCCACCCTTTTTTTCTCTGTCTTGTCTCTAAGCACTTTGAAATCAGAGATATCATCCTGTTGTCTGTGGTCAATTGCATTGAGGTGGGAGATGATTAGGTGGAAAGGCAGCTTTGACCCTGTTAAACCTGAGGGTCAGTTTCCTCATCTGCAAAGTGCTGATAAGTAGTTTCTGGACTCTACCTCAGAGGATGCCTATGGGATTCCCTTGTGATGTTGTGAACTGCTACGAGACAGTGGAGCATTATCCTCCACGTGCTTAAGTAATGATGTACAAGGAACAATGAGGAGAAAATATGTATAATTAACACGTCTAAATCTAAATAAGCACAAACTATTAAAAATAATGACTAATTAAGGATATTTAAAACAGGCAGAACAAAATTGTTGACAACCAGTTACATTGGGATTTAGGATAAGAATGATTGGTGGTTCTGCTTAGGAGGGTAGAGATTCTGATTAAATGGAACTCGTTTTGAATGCCAAGTGGGCATATATGCCAAGTGGGCATATTAAAAATTTAAGGGTAACACCTAAAAGAGAAGAGCTAGAAGGTATCAAACCAGTAGAGGGGGGTGGCTGGGGGGAAGAATATAGTTCAATGAATCAAATAGAAAACAAATGCTTCACGTGTAATAAAAATATTAACAACTTAAGAATAATACATACAAACCTAAGGATGGTAGTTAACTTATGAGGATGATCAGTTGAGGATTTGGGATTCAGCTGGTTTTAATATTATGTTAATAGAGAGGAAGGAAGAAAGGAAGGAAGGAAGGAAGGAAAGAAGAAAGGAAGGGAGGACATGCCAAATTTAACATTTATGCTAAGTGCAAGTTTCACAGGAGTCTCATTGTCTGATATGTTATTTACTCCATTTTCAAACTATGTTATAACTAAAGGAGAAAACGCAAATGGCACCAGATTAGGAATCAGGAAGTCTGCATTCAGGTCCAGGCTCTGACCCTAACCTACTATCTGACCTTGGCTATCACTAACCTGTGTTGGGTCTCATTGTCTTCTATTGAAAAATTAGCGTATATGGGTAGATGATCTCTTCATCACAACTTTTACATTTCTATGACTCTCCAGGCATCTCTCCACTTTTATTTGCTCCCTGAACCATACAACTGAAATGAAACAGGGATTATCTCACCTAAACCTTTTACCTTAGGGGCTGGCCGAATGGCTTAGTTGGTTAAGAGCTTGCTCAAGAGTGTGAGCTCTGAGCAATTAGTGGTTCGATTCCTGGCCTGAGCTGCCGCTGAGCAGGATGGCTCAGCTAAAAACAAAATAGACAAACAAACAAAAACAAACCTAAACCTTTTATTTTATAGAAGGGAAACTGAGGCTCAGAGAGGAGGTGTGGTTTTCCCAGGTCACTCCAAGAGTTCAAGTGAACAGAGGTCTGGCATTCTAAGCCCCGATTCAGACTGTTTCCATAGCTCTGAGCCTTCATCTGCCTCTCCATGGTGGCCTGAGGACAAAGGAGAGAATGTCCACAACAGGGAAGTCACCAAAATAAATAAGGACAACCTATTAGCATGAAACATTGACTAAATGAGACCCAGTATTATTCTTTATTAAGCCAAGCTGAGAAGTTGGATGCAGGGGGCATTTTATATGTCACCACAGTGGCAGTTATGAATGGACTGATTAATAAGTAAACAAACAAATACTAGGAAATCAGGCCCATTTTAATCTTCAAATTCATAGTAACACCCTGTTAACATGAACTTCAAGCGTTAACACTAATAACCACACTAATCACAGGGATGAAGACTCCAAATTAATTCAAATGCTGCTCAATAGACCATTGCTGCATCCTCGCTGCCGGTTCCTTTTCTATCTTTCCAGATCTCCATGCGGTAATTAAATCCATTAAAATGTAAAACAAGCTTTTGTTCTCAAGGGGAAAAAATGAAAAAGGGAGCTGACTAACATTGTTGGCGAAACTGTGACTTCTCAGAACTTCTATTACATCCAAATTCTCGGCCCTTTCTCCTGAAACAGCAGCTCACCCACTCTGAGACCCAGCTGCCCTGTGGAGGCCACAGCGTGTCTCAGCAGGAAGACGCGGCTTAGTGAAGAGCACGAGTGCTGAGGTCACGGCTCCGCCTCCTAGAGCTGTAAGACTTTGGTTTTATAAAACATGTTTGTTTGTTTGTTTTCTTTTCCCCTCTGGCCTTCATGTTTCCCATTTGTGAAATGGGGATGATATCTGCTTCTCCCAGGCTGAGTGTAGGAATCAAATGAGATGATGAAAGTAAAGGTGCTTTGTAAACACTACAAAAGCACTTTACGAAAGGAGTCATCATTCTCCCTGATGTTCAGAAGCTCACAGAACTTCCGTTTATTCTTCAGGTGAGGTGTAGGAGCCTAGCGCGCGGTAGGAGAGCACGGTTCATGCATTATTCACACTAAGACCTACTAAAAAATACATTTTTAAGAAAGGATATAATCATGATTCTCACACAGATATAAAATGAACGCATGCCAAAGGTCTTATTTAACTCAGTAAAATTAATGAGGGATGCAATCACTTCAGAAGCAAACTCATAGTACCACATATTTTTCATCAAATGTGGAATGCTGAAATAAATTTACAAAAGGAAGTAAAAGTGGTCGCTATCTACAGGTCAATAATCAGTTGTATTTCATTATATTCACTTTGCACTTCAATGGACAGGAATTATGCGCATTCCTATCAGTTTTCTAGAACTTAGTTTCTAACTGTACAGAGTTGTAAAATAGTTTAGTCAAAGACAAGGAGAAACAGAGATAACCCAGGTGGATAAGCTAATCAGAACAACCACTAAATATCAGTCTTTCACAATTTTTCCTACAGACACTTGATTAAAGGAATGCCAAACTTACCGTATTTCCCCATGTATAAGACGCACCCTTTTTCGAAAAATTTGGGGTCTAAAAACTCGGTGCGTCTTATATAGTGGTTGTTAGAGGGTTTTTTTAACTTGCTTTTCCCGCTTTTTCGAATTTTGCTTTTTTATGATGAATAAAACTTGAGTTCAATAACTTTATATAATACATTTTTTAAAAAATTTCGGGCCCCAAAATTAAGATGCATCTTATACAGGGGGAAATACGGTATTCAAAAGAGCTCCTTGAATTTTGGCTTCATTACTTGCCAGTTGTAGAAACCCTGAGTAAGGGAGGAGTGGGAAACCCTGGGTTGGAATCTGGGAGACCTACTCAGCTGTCCTGGCTCCCCCCAAATTTACTGTGTAGGATAACCTTGGCCGAGCCTCCTCTCCCATCCAGGGTTCAGGTTCCTAATCTGAAAAAATGAGTACATTGGACTAATTGACTACTGGTCCTATGTGAGAAAGCAATAAGAGTGCGCTTTTTACAATTGATACAGTTTTAACCCTAAAAAGAGTATATTACTATTATTAGGCCACTCTGACTAGAGAAACATCATGTGTCTCTCCAACTTCTTTACCTCCTCAAATACACTTGTTTAGAAAGACATACAAAATAGCAATTGTCAGAGAGAGACAATGGAAAGGGTACTTATGTATGCGATCAGTGAAGGTTAATTTTATGTGTCAACTTGGAAAGTATTTTTGAGTGAGATTAACATTTAATCAGCAAGCTCTGAGTAAGCAGATTGTCCTCCATAATGTGGGTGGGCCTTACCCAATCAGTTGAAGGTCTGAGTAGAACAAAAAGACCAGTCTCCCGGAGCAAAAGGGAATTCCCTCTCTAACTACCTTCATACTTCATCTGCACCATTAGCTCTCCCAGGGATCTAGGGTGCCAGCCATCAGACTGAAATTGCACCATCAGCTCTCCTGGAGTTTGAACCTACTGGTCCATGCTGTAGAGTTTGGACTGGCCAGCCTCCATAATTGTGGGAGCCAATTCCTCATAATAAATTATGTTTTCTATATATACATATCGTATTGATTCTGTTCCTCTGGAAAATTCTAAAGTGCTACCAATGACCAAAATGGGAGTTTCCACAGAGCCAAGGTAGTCAGTAGTTTCCACTGTACTCCTGGGTACTCTTTGCAGCCTCAGGAAGCTTTCCCATGAGAGCCTAAGAATCTTGGTTTGTGAACGGGAGAAATGCCTAGCTAGTGGTCTCAGTGGTGATGGAGGGCATTTCAGGGCACCTGTCATTCCTCAGGGCCACAGCTCTGGTTCAGAACCACCACTACCTCTCCAGGGCAGGAGTTATATCAACAAACATTTTGGCTTTCCCAACACTTGAGAAATGAAATGAAGAAATGTTAGGGAACTTGAAAACAGGAGGCCAAGAAGAGAGAAAAGGTTATGCCCAAGTATTAAAGCTCTTGGGAGAAGAAACAGACTCCTAGGATGAGGCTTGGTGCCTCCCTTTGTTGAGACTCAAAATAAAGATACAGCAGTACTTCTGTACTATCACTTATCGAGTGTTGCTGATATTCCAGGCACTGCACTAAGTACATTTGACATAAATTGTCAAGTGTGATCATATCATCTGTGCTGAAAGTAGAGGCATTATCCCTATTTAACAAATAAGGACACTGAGCTCAGTGAGGACACCCAGCCCCTGGGAAAGGAGGAGATAGATCCCTAGAGTGTGGCTGAAGAGTGCAGCTGAAGATCAAGGCCAGCAAGGGAGAAACTAAGAATACAGTGAGCACCCACCATACGAGCTCGGGAGACAAGGCAGGACAGCAGGAGGCTAGGGGAGGGGCACAGGCAGGTGGTCAGCTGCCTGATAATGGCTTGGATGGGAGCTGGGGTCTCCATCTGTCCCCCACAAAGACTAGCTGCTGATCACTTGTACATTTTGCTGGCAATATGTGGGTTATCAACGACATGTCACCCCCCCCCATATCGCGAGTGTGAAATAAATACGCAAGTGTAAAGGGTCTTTTACTCTTTAGAGGGAGGGTTAGTAATTTTTCTCTGTAGGGGACCACAGTGAAAACTACACGAGTTTTTTTGGGGATATACATTTTGTTGTGCATCTTCAATTTTGTCCCTGTGTTGTGCGAGCGCTATAGACAATATATAACAAACGTGGGTTGGCTTGTTTTGATATAAATCTTTTTTTAGGGCACCTGCCATTAAAACTTTAAATATTTTTCAGGTTCCCAAAGGTATAATTTTCTTTTGATTTTTTTTCAACCATTTAAAATACAAAAACCATTCTTAGCTTGAGGCCAGGCCAAAAAAAAGGCCAAATTTGGCCACTGCACTGTTGATTGCCAATCGTTGCCCTAAAGTGTTGCATAAATGGGGAAAACATAAAATGCAAAAATGTAAGGGAAGAAAGTTTTGAAAAAAGGCAAAGAAGATTGTACTTTTTCTACATATTACTGTGCAACCTTTAAAAAGCAACTACTAAGTTTTGTGTGGTGCTAACAGGTAGGGACTAGAGGTGTGGGAAAAGAGGCTCATGGAAGCTGGACAGCCAGAGAAGGGGTGCATGGAAGATGGGGCATCTGGTTTGAGCTGGAAGGACGAATGGGATTTTCACAGGGGAGGCCAAGGTAGGAGGGTGGGTATTTAAGGAGGGAAGGAGAAATGAGGGCACAGAGGGAATGAAAGGACACCTAATGGAAGACAACCAGAGAGAGGACTGTGGTAGAAACAGGCAGGGTCGGGACTCCAGCCTGAGGATCCTGGCTCCCCCTCGAGGGCTCTTTCCACATTCTAGCTGCCTGGTCAATTGAGTGGACAAATAGAAAATCTAGAAGTACCCTATTCTAGGAGAACCTATTGTCAGATTTGGAGATAGAAAGACATTCCGAGAAAGTTATTAAAAAATAAAAACAGTTGACATAACAGAAATAATAATAAAATAATAAGCAGTTTTAATTGAGCATCTACTTAATCAAACATTAGGTATTCTGCAAACATTATCTCATTTGAGATTCATTTCAAGTTCTGATGACCTGCCTTTATCCCCATTTTACAGATGAGGAAACTGAGGAAAAGTGACAGAATGTCCCACTGGGCGCAGTGACCACCCTTAACAGCAATACACATTTGCATACTGTTTGTCAAAGACTTAGCGGGGATTGAGAGAAACATGGTGAGTAATAATCTGAGGACCTTGGTCAGCAGCATCTAAGGCAAATGGAAGCATGTCACAGATGGACAGCCAGAGCATTTCAGGGAGTAGCACAGAGGGAGTCATGTAGATGATTCAATACTAGCCTGTTTGGAGTAGTTGCAGACTTCTTACATCTATTGCCAAGCCTGGAACGGTTCATAAAAATGTTTACAGATGCCTTTCTGGGGAGTGTATGCTCTGGAAAGAGTCATAGTAACAGCAGCATGGGGCTTAGGAATAATTAAATAACATTTCCAGCTCTCCTAAGAGCCATCATACTAAAACAAATAAGCAGGTGAGAAGAGGAAGCTGAGAGTTATTTGCGCTTTGTTAATGAGACTTTAATCAACATACCCCCACCCCGCCACCAGCAGCAGCGGGTCCCTGCAATTTGGGGAGACTGTATACTCACAAAGCTTCCATTCAAGTGCCATGAAAGCTGGCACAATGCAGCAATCAGACAAGCTGCGGCTTCTCCGTGGCGCTACACCTGCACCTGTTAACGCGGTAGGAACTTCATCAGCCCTTAGAAACTTACAAAATGAAGGAGGTTGTCCATAATCAGTTCTCTTCCATCCCTTTGAGGGTAGAGATATATAAGCCAATATCAAAGGCTAATTGTCCTCTTTCCCTAGAGAACCAGTGAATCCATGTGGGTCTGGGCAGCTATAGGTGTACCACGTGGTGTCGACATGACTGAGTCCCTTGGACTGTGAACCAACGCCAGCTGTGAGGGTGGGAGTCAGGGTGGTATTGAAGGCTGTAGCTAAAACCAGGGGGGTAGGAGCTTCATTAGCATCCACCCCACCACTGTTGAGAGAATGCATGAGCTGGCTCATCAGGTGCGGAAGGAGGCTGAATGCTTTTTTGATTGCTATAATTGCAGCAAATTGACGCTTGAGAGCATCTCTTTAAGGAGAAGAATCTCGTGGATGAGACTTAGGGAAGAGGCCTCTCTTCAGATCCCTCTCCTTTGTCCCATGCGTATGAGATAATTCCCCAGCCATTATGGATTGTGAATGGGCTGCTAATTTTAGTTGTGCAAGCCAAACAAAGACCCCAGTTGGTAGATCCGGAAGGTGATTCATCTGATAAGATGTTTGTGTGGTGAAAGCTAAAGGTCTTGACAGCCACCCCTGATTATTTCAAACTTTCCATCCAAAGATCTGGAGAATTTCTTAAGTGGCCATCTCAGCACTGGCAACCAAACATGGATTCCAGTACCTTCTTTTCTGTTTAAAGTCCTTCTGTCTTAGCAGGGCTGGGTGCTTTGAGTGTAGATGTCTTCCTCTAGGTCTTCTTAATTGGGAAGACTCAGGAAGGCAACAGTCAAGCCCAAATCAATGAAAGATCCAAAGTAAAAGTCACAGAGACCCAACATAAAACCAAATCTAAAGGTCTTTGATACCGTTGGAGAAAACAGATAAAAATTAAGAGGATTTTGAAACCCGGGTTGAAACAGAAGTTCAGGAACCTTTGAGGTAAGTTGAGGGTGACTGGAGGAGAGCCCTGATTCCTTTTATTGGCTTGTGTGTTGCTTATGAGTGCTTCTTGGACTTGTTGAGTTGAGAGCTGCAGGGTCAGTGCATTTTTTTAAGTCTACTGTAATAATAGCCAAGAGAACACTGTACCATATTTGATCCAAAGCTGGCTTTCCTTACTTAATTTTGGTAAGTCACTCTATTTTGTTGGACCTTAAGGTGACCTACTCATCCCAGTTTGCCAGAGGCTTTCTGGTTTTAGCACTGGGATTTCTGCATCCCAGGAAAGAAACCCCTTTGTTCCAGACAAACCATACACCCTGCTTCCCTAGAGCAGAGTATCAGGGGATAAGAGAGTGGAAAAGCAGGAATTACAGCTTTGGATATGAGGCAAAAGGCCCTGAAGTTATTTTGATATCCTGCTTTCATCAGGCTACATCCCAAAACACTACCATTGTCCCTTTCTTAAAGCGCATGTCTCCTTAGCCTTTTTTGTACTTACCGATGCAGTTTTCTTCTCTGTGAGCAGTTTGAGGGTAAGGACTCCTACCTGCCTGGGAATAGAGTACCTAGCACGTAGCAGGTCCTCAGTAAATGTGTTCTTGAAACGGATCCATCACCCTCTTGGGCCATCTATCCGTAGCTTCAAGGACCATCCAGATGGACACCCCCTTTATATCTTTGTGGGAACCAGGAAACTTGAAGGCAGAAAGAAAAGAATAGGCCCAGGCCCGTGTCCATCCCCTCCTACAAATTTGCTGTGTAACTTGAATAAGTTACTTTGTATCTCTGTCTTAGTTTTCTGATAAGTATTAAGAAAAAATGATAATGTGGTTTTGTACTATATCATCTTAGCTAACTAAGCTGGAATTGCAAATCCTAGAATTCCCTTCTCTGTATGATTGCAAGTTAGGGTTGGAATTTCCTTCACTACATGGTTCCAAGTTAGAGTTGGTCACAAGTTAGTGTTCCAAGTTGGGGTCGTGTGAGCTTTGGAAAGGGGACATGAAGGAGAGCCCTTTTATATTGTTGTACTCTGAAAACTGATGAGGGCAGGCACTGTGATAGCTCATGCACATTGTCGCCGGTCTGCTGGCTTACTTGATTGTTAGGGATACAGTTGGGCCTTCAGCTCTTGCAGATCCTGCCAGGTTGGACCCCCACCCCCTTGAACTTTTCTGAGTCCTGGGCCAAGTGCAGGAGCTATTCTGTAGTGCAGAGTGCCTGCTCATCTTGTAGGCCAATAGCATCATTAGGATTGAAGGAGTTGAAAAACACAGTTTCAGCCAATTATTGCAGGTTCCAGTCTGTTCTTGGTATCTCTCTATCTTCCCTTCTGTATTTCTAGCTTTGTTGACTTTAGGCCTAGCACAAAAGCAGAAATTACAGCCTTAAATGGCCAACACAATCAGCTCCCACAGTTGTGTATGGTCTAACTCCTGTAGTATATTTTCCTTATTCTATATCACTAGAAGTGGTTCTGCTTCTCTGAATCCTGAATGACATAAATAGTATTTACTGAATGCTTACTATGTGCCATTTTCTCAATATTTTTCCTAATTAATTCATTTAAACCTCACAAAAACCTCTTGTGAGGTAGGTGTCATCCCCATTTTATACTACCTACATTTTATAGATGAGAAAACTGAAGCACAGAGAATTTAAATAGCTTGCCCCAAATCATACAGCTTGTAAGAGGCTGAGCTACGATTTTCATCCTGGCAGTTTGCTAAACTCTGTGCTTCTATCCACTATGGGATGCTGTCTGATTTGCAGAATGAAAGATTGTGCTAGATATCTTTGAAGTCTCTTCCAGTTTTCACATTCCATAAAATAGGTTCTGTATTTAATTGTTTAACCCCCAGAATAGTGTATCTCAAAGTGCAGCCTAAGAATTATGTACATCAGAATCACCTGGGAAACTTGTTTAAATGCAGATCCCCTGGGCCCCACAGGTGGGGTGGGGAGGAGGGGATTTACGTGCGTTTATAATTTTTTCATGTGATTTTGATGCGCACTGAAGTTTGAGAACCATTCGCTGCCCTAGAAGAACAGTTAAATAAATAAATAAATGATATTTGTTTTGTTTTGTTTTGTTTTGTTTTGTTTTGTAAGGGAAAGGTGAACTGAGTCCATTTAGAGGTGGTTCCTTCTTAGGCCTCCATTTAAGTGGAGAGTTGTGCTGCAACCTCAGCTCTACTCATACAGTCAGGAAGACACTCGCAGTGGAGTTGATATCAAGAAGCTCTGGAAGGATTTGCTTCTACTCCTCCCTGAAGTGCCCCTAGAAACAGCTTCAGAGAGTTCAGTGAGATAGATTGTCATCCACCTGCCCCATGACAGTGCCAGGCAGCAATTAGAGTAGCAGTATTGTTAATTAGAAATGTCTCTGTAGATGAGGGTAAACCGGGTCAAATATATGGTGATGGGAGAACTGACTCTGGGTGGTGAACACACAATGTGATGTACAGATGATGTACTACAGAACTGTACACTTAAAACCTATGTAATTTTACTAACCATTGTCACCCCCAATATATTTTAAAAAAAAAAAAAAGAAAAGAAAAAAGAAATGCCTGTCTCCCCTCTCCATGGGTTTATCAGTCATTTATGTTCTCTTGGGAAGTCAGAGTCACGCTGGCCAGAGATGGGCGGAGGTTTGCTCAGGTGACCTTGTTTATTAAGAGCCCGTGGGCCCAGGCTTCTAGAAGCAGAGCAGCTGCAGGATGCACAAATTAGAGTTAGAAGGAGGTATGACAATGGAAAACCTCTTCAGGGCAGCTTGTAGTCATCATTAGCCAGCATGCAGGGCTGATAATGAGGGCCTGCTTGGCTCAGTGATGCTGTCGTCAGGATACCAGCATGCCTGCTGCAAAGCCAGGGAGCAGGCCCCCTCAGGCCTCAGATGGCCCCTTATATGTCAAGGGGACTTAGTTGTTTGCAAAGGGCTTTTTCATTTGAGCGTCTTCCCACCAATCTTGGAATGAATAACCTAAGGAACTTAGAACTTGACTGGAGAAAATGCTAATAATTAATACTTTTCTATCTTCTTTGCCAAACTTCTGTCACAAATTGTCACTTTTTAAAAAGTATTTTACTTTTCCTAGATGTGATGATATGAGGTAAGTATTAGGTTCTAGCCAGGTGCCAAGTATTATGTTTGGCAAATTGCTTATGTGATATCATTTAATCCTTACAGTGCCCCAAATGTCATCAGTATCAGACGGGGAAACTGAGGCTCAGAAAGTTTACACAGTAACATGTTAAATTATCTCTGAAATAACCTCATGAGATTCTGAGGAGGACTGGTGTAGCTACACAATGTGGGTAGAAGTATAAGCCAAGAAATGAGCCAATTTCTGCAAATTGCACCTTGAACCAACCAGCCTCTCTGATGGTGAACTTCTTAAGATCAGGAACTGATCTAACTTTTCTCTTTGCTTGAGTCAGTTACATCACCAAGCCTAGGGCAAAAGGAAACCAATTTTATGATTTCCTTTGGAGTCAGGCTAAACCTGAAAGGTGATTCTTGTGTGTGTGTGTGTGTGTGTGTGTGTGTGTGTGTGCGCGCGCGCGTGCGCGCATGCTCCTGTGTATAAAAACTCAGTGCTTTGCATTCCTCAGCTTTCCTGAGAGGACTTGATCTGTGGTTGCTCCATCCCACATTGTTTTTGCTCCAGAATAAGAAGGAAAAATACGAGGTGAGACAATTAAGTTCACAAACTCATCCTAGGAAAAGTGCTACATATATCATTGCTGAATATCACTACTCCCCTTGGGAAGCTATGCACTGATGCCAGCGCCTAGTTGACCCTTCAAAGCAATTTTGGAACTCTTTCTGGAATGATCATCAGAGCTGTCATCATATTACCCTTGATGTCCTGAATGTCATCCAAATGTCTTCCTTTCAATATTTCTTTTATCTTCAGGTAAAGAAAGAAGTCATTGGGAGCCAGATCAGGTGAGTAGGGAGGGTGTTCCAATACAGTTATTTGTTTACTGCCTAAAAACTCCCTCACAGACAGTGCCATGTGATTTACTGCCTAAAAACTCCCTCACAGACAGTGCCATGTGAACTGATACATTGTCGTGATGCAAGAGCCACAAATTACTGGTGAAAATTCAGGTCGTCTAACTTTCCACGCAGCCTTTTCTGCACTTCCAAATAGTAAACTTGGTTAACTGTTTGTCCAGTTGGTACAAATTCGTAATGAATAATTCCTCTGATATCAAAAAAGGTTAGCAACATTGTTGCATGAAGTTCATGAACTTGATTGTCATAACTCATATCTCCCCAGTTCTTTTTCTGACTCCTTTTGAGACCAATCCCAGTATAAGTCCACATCCCAGGCTCAGATGCACATACCCATAAACGTGAATTCTAGATTCTTCTACTCCCATATTTGGAAGGTATTATAGAAAAGATTTAAGTCGGGCAACTACTTAGTGCAAGAATCACCTCCAGGTTCAGGGAGATCACTATGTAGTCAAGTATCCTCTCCCTTTGCTGGACATCTAGAATTCTGTAATATCCCACCACCCTAAAACACTATTATACAGCATAACAACATTAGGACAATTAGTTCAGAAGAAGGACTATAAATTATTTGAGAATTGTGCCTGGTTTTTTCACCCCTGATTTTCAGAGCTTTGACCCACCTATCACCTGATAAGTTCTCTTTACATATTTATTGAGTGAATAAATAAAGGAGTAACTGAATGAATGAATGAATAGATAAACAAATTCTTCAGATTTCCTGGACAACCTTTCCATCATTTGCTGGAAGTCGTGAAATGTCTCCTACCTGATCTTCCTGCCTTGTAGGCCATGCTGAGACATATGGTCAAGATTAATGCTCTCCTCATGTGCTTTTCATCAAGTGACAGCTCTGCTAAAGTATTCATTGACTCCTTCTTGTTGGACTTGGGATAAAGGAAATATTAAGAATTAAATGTTTGGACTACAGGATCCTAAATCATTGAGTTCTATTGTTAAACATTTCTAGAAACTCTCAAGAAAAACATATACTGGGTACCATGTGAAGAATTCTTATTTTTCCCAATTCTCGTGGCAAGTAAGCACATCAAAGGAGCTATTCTATTTCCTATTCTCAAATCCAAATTTTAATCTCACAGCTTACCACTCCGATGGTGAGGAGAGTCCTGTTTAGAACTTGCCTAACATCAACAAGAAGAAGGAATTTTTGCTGAACAGGATTATCTATGACTTTGAAAAACACAGCCAATCATGCTCTTGGCTTTGATCCATCCATAATAATGGGTCTTCTTAATTTGTTATTTAAGGCTCTCCACGGTCAAACTATTTCAAAGACTACAGTCAGACTTACACAATTCCAAACCAACCTCCCAACAACCCCAAAATGAGTCTTACTACATCTGGCTGGACCGGTCTACTCAGTACTGAACAAGCACCAGCACATTCTTTCTCCGTACCTTGGCTCTTAAGTCCTTCCCTGTCACTGGCCCCTCCTCTACCTCCTTTGCCTACTATTTTTCCGGGGCCAGGTCGGTGCTCCCCTCCTCCCTGAATTGAGCTCTGATTGCTCTTCCTCACAGGGAAAAATACAAAGGAGAAACTGTTTGTATTATCTCTACCCCACACCTTGCAATGCCCAGGACAGGTATGCACTGGGCTGAGTGAAAAGAAGAACCTGAGTCCACACCTTCTAATTGTAAAAATTTGGCCCACCCACCTCTCCTCTCCAAATTCTAATGTCCACATCTAGAAAATGGGGATAATTTCTACTTCAGAGAGTTGTATGAATTAATACCTAGTATTCACCCAACAGGAATTTGCCAAGGGTTTCCTAGATGCCAGATGCACAGTAGTAGGTGATTAATAAATATTACTGGTTGTTATTAAACATTCATTAAGTGGATTTGAAGGACTTGTCTAGTTAGGGAAAATAATTAGATTAAACATAGACTGTTTCTGTCATCTTTTTTCTTCTTGTTTTTTTGACTACTTATTGGACATAAAAAGAAGAGAAATAGAAACAGAATTAATGATTTAACATTTTATGTTCAATATCCCATCCATTATCCATATCTTGTATTCAACCATTTGGATTTGTTGGATACACAACTGAAAAATCCAGAATAAAAATAATAAGTGTAAGTATGAATATATTGTATCTTTTTTTGCATCAATCAAAGTGACATTTGTCAGGTAACATTTTATTAAGCCAGCCTCAATGTTTAGATAAAAAAATAGACTTGTGAAGGACATGGTAATTATCTTGAAATACAGGAAGCCTATCATAAAAGATGACCTTGTCTATGTGTCCTCAGGGGAAAATCATTACTGGAGGGTAGAGGTTATAACAAAATAGATTTTCTTCAAGATATAGTGAGGAGGCAGCACATGACTTCAAAGGTGCCTGTGTATTTTTATGTGCTTGGGGGTGGAGAGGGGACCACCGACTTAACAGTCTGGAGCACAAGCCTGTTATGGCTCTGACAGGGAACAAAACTGAGTAGGAGAGAAACAAAATATTCTCATTCAATAACGAGGGTTCCATTGACTCGATTTTTAATTGAGAAAAACCCATTCTACTTGAACCATCCCCAAGCCACTCACAAACTTACACACACACACACACACACACACACACACACACACACACACAAAGTCTGTGGGTTCCTTCATATGGAGATTCAAAGCAATGTTCATGTTTGTTGCAGTTATTTTTTTCTTCCTTTCTATATAATAATTCTCTTCCAAAATCATTGCAAATTCTTTTAGAAAAGAAATTCGTATGTAACCATACACCCAGAGATGCTGGTGCTGGGAAAATGAAGGAACAGAATGGCGAACGAGAAGGGGGAAGCCCTTTTGCTCCATCTGTACCTCCTACCGCTGGACGTACCTTCTGTATGTTCCAGATGGTCGTTCATGCATAATCATGTCGATAAATCTGTCACATTATCCGGGAAAGAGGCTCTGGTTTATCAAAAGCAGAAGTAAAGTATACGCGAGCAAGGCAGTTCCTGTGTGCGCATAGCATTGCCTAGCGACATTACCCTGGCCGGGCTGGCCAGAGCACAGCCACCATGACAAGCACTAGAGGATTGTGAGACTGGATCACTGGAAAAACATCGGGCTCAAAAATGAGACTTCTAGGCAGAGATTACATCTTTTTTGAGTCTTTTTCTGTTGTTCCCATTAAATGAATTTGCAACATGATCGAAATAATGACAGCAGCAAAAATAATAACTGTAATAGGCAACACTCCAAAGCTCTGTTGGCTTCTCACTGCCAGCAACAGATCTGTTGCTAAGATGAGCTGCCTCTCTCTTCCCTTCAGAAAGGGTTTGTGAAATGCCAAGAGGTGCGTTTGGCCCCATAGCAAAGTGCTGCCTCCTTCCAGAAGCAGGGGGACTTCCCTTATAGGTGAAATTTTCTTATGAGAAAGGCTACAGTCTTGATGTGTGCTCATTATATTGCCTTTCACCGACATTCTAAGGGGGAATTAAACCTTGTGACATGCTTATCAAGATTGTGCTGATTTTTTTTTTTAAAGAAATGCAGTGAGGCTCCCAAGATGGAATTTATTCATTTTGAACTTCGTATCACTACCCTGACTGGGGCAGAAGGGCTCTGAAGTAGAAAACGCTTGAAAAGGAATAATTAAAAATTGCATCAACAAACTCTCTAGGGTTTAGCTGCATACATGAGAACCATATTTCAAAACAAAGAAAAAGGAAGCTGGCAAAAATATTTCCAAGGGAAATAATGAGTGGCTGATGAGAAGCATGTAGTCAAACCTCCTCAAAGGAGTGAAACCTCAGGAATACTTAAGTGTAGGGTCTTCTCTTGATAAATGGAGCCAGTTCAACTAGAGGGCAGGTAGTTCTCTTTCAATCAGCAAACAGGCACCCAAACAGAATCATTGTGTTCTCACCTTGAAACCTACCTGAGCCAAACAAACCAATGCTGTTGTTTGCAACCATAAGATTTGAGGTGATTTGTTAATCAATTGTAGATAACTGGGGTATTATTTTACATTTTCTCCTTTAAATGGTTACTATACGTATAACTACTAACATGTGAAGGTCCTCAAGTTTTTATTTTTTTATTTTTTATTTTTATTTTTTTTTTAAGTTTTTAAAATGTATTAAAAGAGGGCCCAATGTTCAAAAAGAAAATGGCACCCACTGAACTAGGAATTTTAGCTGATAAAGAGTAAGTATAGGGCCAGCGCTTTGGTTAAGAACTGGCTTGGGATGCCAGAGGACCCCAGTTCGGATCCCACGTATGAAGGCCAGTGACACTGCCCTCTACAGCTAAGATGCTGAACAACAGCTCAACCGGGAGCTGGGCTGCCATGAGTCGCCATCAACTGCATAGGCTGCAGCCCCTGCTGCAGTGGGTTGCCATGGGCTACCATGTGTAGCCAGCAGCCAGCGTGAGCGGCCAGCAGCCACAGTGAGCGGCC